ATAGGATTAGGCAACAGCTGGAGAACTGTGTGTCAGTTTTGGATGCTACACTATAGGAAGGATATGATGCACTGGAGAAGATGCAGAGGAGATTTGCCAGGATTGTTGCCTGGATTGGAGTGATTCTGCCATGAAGAAAGACTGAATAGACTGGGATTACTTTCCTTTTGGAGCAAAGAAGGCTGAGGGGATATCTGATTGAGGTGTGTAACATTCTGAGAGACATAAGACAGGGTGAATAGAAGGAAACGTAACTAAGGGCCCAATTATTAGGGAAAGGGCAGGAGGTTTAGAGGGGATTTTAGGTAAATTCTTTGTCACCCTGAGAGTTGAGGGTATCTGGAACTCCCTGTCTAAAAGGATGGTAGAGGTGGGAACCCTAAAGACATTTAACAACCATTTAGATGAACTATTGAAATGCCATAGCGTACAAGGTTATTGGACAAGTGCTGGAAAGTGAGATTAGAATAGGTGGATGTTTGATGACACAATGGGCTGAAGGGAGTTTACCCATCCTGTAAAATACTCCGTGTTTCTACTCTACGACTCTCTAAATGGGTCTTTGGCAGAGTGCACCATCTCCCAAGAGTTAATAATGAAATCCTTTATGAATTTCAAACCGATTTGATTCTACCTTTCTAACTTGGTTTTATTCAGGAGGCTTTTTTTTCCTTTTATTTTATAAACACGTGCCTTTTGTGAAGGGGAAGAATGGCCATTGTGAATCTTAATAGCTGAATTTTAGGCAGATGTGAGCGCAGTGTTGATAAGCATTTCACTTTTCTGCATGGACTCACACTACATATATGTTGTTGAATGGCTTTGTTTTAGATTGAGTTGCTGAACGATTTTAATTTCCTCAGTCACAAAAGTTTGCCATCTGGGAGATTTTTCTGTTGTTTGATATCTGAATGTCCCACCTTTTACATACCACATGTTTTATAACAAAATCTTCCAAGGTTGATCTCGCTCCATGGTTTTTTTAAAGGAATATCCCTGAGGGTAGTGAGATAACAAGGTGTAGAGCTGGATGAACACAGCATGCCAAGCAGCATCAGAGGAGCAGGAAAGCTGACGTTTCGGGCCTAGACCCTTCTTCACTACTCTGAGGGTAGTGTTCAGATTATCAGTCAGTTCGTTCATATTAATGAAATCGGTAAATGTTTCTAGATGTAATTTGAAATGACTGCTTCCTATGTTTGTGGGATGACTGTCATTGTTTGTTCTTTTCCACTGGCTTCGGTTTTACTGGAATGTTTTTGGGTACGCTTGGCACTTTATGATTATCTTTAAAAGGAAGGGACAAAATGATAGAAGTTTTGGAGTTTACTGTCAGTCTGCTTTCAAAAGGCGAAAGGACAAGATTGGTGGAAACATAAATCAGGAATAGCGAAGCTGGGTTGTCCTTGATTACACTGCAGGATTGCTCTGACAAGAATGTCACCTCTATGGTTGGTGCAGTGGTACGTGCAGTGTCCTTTACTGGGAATGTGGGCGGCACGGTGGCTCAATGGTTAGCACTACTGCCACACAGCACCAGGGAACAGGGTTCGATTCTACCCTCGGGTGACTTTGCAAACTCCACACAGACATTCTTCCAGTGTCTGCGTGGGTTTCCTTCCACAGTCCAAAAACGTGCAGATTAGGTGAATTGGCCATGCTAAATTGCCCATAAGCGTCCAGGGTTGATGAGGCAATGTGGATTATGCATGGAGAAAATGCAGGGATAGGTGGGTGGGATGCTGTTCAGAGGGTGGATGTGGACGTGATGGGCTGAATGGCCTGCTTCCGCACTGCAGGGATTCTATGATTCATTCCCATTGTGGAGCTGCAGTGATATTTTTCAGTTAGCCAAGAAACCAACCAGATCACCAAATACACAAACGGGAAACTAAAAGCAACAAAATAAAGTCATTGTAAAAGAAAAACAGACTTTGAACAGTGACTGGGACATCCGCGCGGTAAATGTAAGAGATAAAAGTACATTTTAGAATTGGCTTAATAACTAATTAATCATTAACTCTGCAAGTATAACATTGGGATAGGCTCTGAATTTGTGTCAATCCGGTTGCGATTAGATATCTAGTTAAGTCTGTTTAAAGGTGTAACCGTTTAAGGGGTTGGGAGTAACAATGTCCGAGCAGGAACGTTGAAATTCTCACTGATTTCTAACAATGTTGGGCTGCACCATGCAGCGTTGTGTTTGAGCCCTGAGGATAAAACATCAAGTTTAGCATTTCCGTGCTAGTCTGCACATACCTGGCGCCCTGTTGTTGCACTTAATTACAGAGGAACACTGATAGCAAACTCTGGTAGTTTCCCATCAACCTGGGCCCTGCAAGATCCAGCTTGGTGGAAAAACCTTCTTTGGATTTGTAGCTGTTCCTTAGGTTGTTTATGCATTTATCATTTAACAACTATAAGTGTTCCTCAATTTGGTAAGTCTGACATATAAATAGAGTATCCTAAACCACCTCTGATATCAAAAATCTCACGCTGTTATTTTGAAGAAGAGCGGAGGATTTCTTGACTGTTATTTACCTTTAATCAATGTCATTGAAATCAGATTATCTGGTTGTTATCCTATTGTTATTTGTGGGGAATTTGCTATATGCAAATTTGTTTAGCTGCCTAGTTAAAACAGTGACATTTCAGAGAGGGTCTGCTTGGTTGTAAAGCACTGGTATTTTTTGTTCAAGTTCTGTATCTGCCTGAAGAGATGTGACGTTCATGCTTGTCGTCTTGCCTTCGTCAGAACTGGGAAGCAAGAAATCCAAACTTGGAATGGGACGTGGCTAAAAGCCAAGTATATATTCACAAACAGTACCTTGCTCTTTGTCGACAAAACAAGTTTGTGCATAAATTACTCTTTGCCTTTTCCTCAATGAAAAAAAAGTTGACCCCTGCATTTCCCTGTGATAGTGCACTGACCATTAGCCTGACTTGCCTGGCTGTCAATCTGAACCAATTAAATTCAGCCAACAGTTTGTGTTACATCCCCATGCAGTCTCAGCATGGTGTTCTCGTGCTATGTAAATTGGTGTTCCCATTGAGTTTGGTTTATTGTGTCCCAGGCCGAATGAGTGTAAGATGCAAAGCTTTGACTTTGTCTCTTTCCAAACAATTATCTTACTCTCTCATTTTCTTTTTCCATCTGTTTTTCTGCCTGTCACTCTGCCCCTTTTTGCACTCGCCCGCTCGGTGACTCATTTTTACATCCATCTGCTCTGTGTCCAATATCTGCTCTTTCCTTCCCCCCCGCCCCTTACATTCATAGCTTAAACTTTTGCTGTACTCCACAGATGCAGTCATTTATTTTATTGTTTTTTACTCTTGGTCAGGCTGCACATTGAGAGATGTCATAAACCTTCCATTGCCCCATTCCAATGGAACAATAAGGGTGGGAAGGATGTACAGCCAGTGGAGAACCTTGCAAAAACACATCTTTTAGGAGGGGTACTGGCAGTCGGGAACAAGAATCCTGACTGACTTTTCCGTCCCATTCCTCTTCACTTCCCCACCATTTTGATATGGTAAACCATGCTTTAGTGTCTACACTATATATCCTGGTGTATACACTTGCCTAAAGAACCATTGGGATATCTAACTAATAATTGACTTAATGGTTAGGTTTGATGCGTGGGTTTAAAAGTTAATACCAAAGGTCTGTGGAAGTGTGGTACGCAATTGGGAATTGTGGCATAGACCACCTTTTTAGGGTGCAGAGAATAAAGGAAAGAATGTACTTCCAAACTTATGTGACAGTGCTCCCACCATCTGCACACCACATTGATGGCTGCCCATAAGACTCCATCCTCTTCGCCAACACTGCCCCCCAACAGCCCCTTCACCACTTATGGTCTAAAGGGTAAGGTAATGGATAGAAGTGGTTATTAGGATGTGGTAACAACAAATCCACAATCGCGTCATCACTTTGCAAATGTAAACATTGCACGTACATAAATCCTGTCAACATTAACTGTTTGTACTGTATGGTTTCCCCTTGGTTATAGGATGTAGGATCATTTTGTTTTTCTTTAATCTTTTTACGGGATGTGGGTGCATTGCTGGCAAGGCCAGCATTTTGTCCATCCCTAATTGCCTTTGAACTGGATGACTTACTTGGCTATTTTTCAGGAGGTGTTTAACAGTCGACCACATTCACTTGGGTCTGAAGTCATGTGTGAGCCAGACTGGATAAGGACTGTAGATTTCCTTCCCTTAAAAAAAAAAGTTACTGAACCAGATGAGTTTTTACAACAATTGATGTCTTGGTCACCATTACTAGCTTAATATAAAATGAATAAAATCAGAAATTTAATTTTCATCAGCTACCACATTGAGATTTGAACCCATTTCCTCAGATAACTAGTCCCATTTTCACCCTCTGTCATGGTTTCCCCTGATTTTTGGATATGATTACTAGCTTTGCCTGTTCCAGAATAATCTGTTTTCACATTTCTCTCTGTAGCAGTAAAATTAGGACAGGGCTGATGTCAGGAAGCATTTCTTGACAGGGCTGTGGAAATTCTGGGCTCTGTTCTACGAAAAGAAATCTTGTCAAAGCCATATCAGTTGAAAACATCAAATCCAAGCTTGAAGAAGTTTGAGGCAAGGACTGAAACAGAACTGAAGCAGGTAGACAGAAGTAGGGTAAGGGTTGGTCAAGATCTAATTATACAGCATAATATTCTCTAGGGGCTAAATGTCCTACTTCTTTTCCTATGTTCTTTAACTCACCAACTGCTCAAATGCGTAGCTTTTCCTTCACAGAATATAGATTGCCAGCTCCCTAAGTCTGATCTGCCAGTTCCCAACAAATCTATATTTGTGTTTCTTTCTCTGCACTTTCTTTTCCCATCTCTGCTGGACGAAAGAAAAGACCGATTTAACAGCAATGCTCAGAACCTTCAAATCAGCACTAAGTGGGTTGTTGCTAAGTGATGCTACTTAATATCAGAAGCCTCATATGCACCTTTTTATTGTTGTCCCTTTTACAGCGGTGTGCTCACTGGGCTGTGTGTTGTTTGTGGGGCTGGAGCATCAACTAGATGATGTACAGAAAGAGAGAGATCCCGGCTGATGTTTGGTCTGCAGAAGGAGTGGATCCCAACACCGTACAGTCCACCAGGGACACCAAGACAAATCCAGGTGGACCCGTCACTCACCATGAGACATACGAAAAGGCCCGTGAACTCTTCCAGTTGTGTGACAAAGAGGAGAAGGGCTTCATTACCAAGCGAGACATGCAGGTAGCAAGCTTCTCTGTATTTCCATTCCCCTGCCGAATCAATTCTAAGATTTTAAAAATGCCAAATATTATCTATGGATGATTTCTGGGTGAATGTTAGCCATTCTGCTCCAGTTGTTGTTAGAATCAAGAGAAGATGACAGTGAATTCTTCTTCCCGAACTGTTAGGCTGGTCGGGTTTGGGGATGCATGGAAAGAGAACGGTTTGTGTTGTGAAATCTCAGTGTGCTATATGCCAGGTGTCAGTAGCATTCTTGTCTCTATGTTGAAAGCTGTGGTTTCACGTCCCATTGCTGAGGTTTAAAGGGCAAAATAATGAACCTGGCAGTCCCAGTGCTGAGAGAGAGGTGCACTACACAAATGCACATTTGCGATAGGATGTTAAATGTCTCTGTTTTTGGGTTGACATCAAATATCCAATAGCATTATTTTGAAGAACAGGAGCATTCTCCCTGCTGTTCTGTACAATATTCAACCCTTTGCTTCTTTTTGAAAAAGAAAAGCAGCTCATTAGCATACTGTTGTTTATGGGTGTTGGTTTGCATAAATATTAAACTTGTTTTTAAAGTGAATTCTTTTCCTTTCAATTTTTCACGGCTTCTTTGGATTAAGGAAGCACTTGTATTCAGATATCGCTGTACTCCATTAAATTACATACTACATTTGTGACTGTCCTAAACTAAAAATGCCATCTGTTCAATGTTACCACATTCATTATCTGAGAGAAATTTCGATTTCAGTCTGTGTTGGTGGTGGTGGTGGTGGGTGTTGTTATTGTTTGGTTGACCCTGTCCCTGAGAAGATGCAAATCTTTGACACCATCTATCTGGGTGTAGTGACTCCAGGCTGCCACTTCACTGTGACACAGTGCGACGCTGTTCACTGACTGACTGAGTGCTATCTTGTTGGAACTAGATGACACAGTGAGGAGCTAGAGGAGCACAGCAGGCCAGGCAACATCAGAGAAGCAGGAAAGCTGGCGTTTCAGGTCGGGACCCTTCATCAGCTTTCCCGCTCTTCTGATGCTGCCTGGCCTGCTGTGCTCCTCCAGCTCCTCACTGTGTCATCTCAGACTCCAGCATCAGCAGTTCTTACTATCTCTATTGTTGGAACTGTTGTCTTGTAGAGGAGCTGCTGAGTCAAGGCCCTATCTTCCTGCTTCACTGGGGTTGACATGCATCTTTCTTTCTAAGGAGGTATCCTGGTGCTATGTCTAATATTTATCTCATAACCCACACCACTGCAGCAGACTCACTGGTCATGCATCTCATTTATTGTTAATGGGCTATTTGTGTGTAACAACTGACTGTAAGCACCTTGATGTGCTGACACCAGAAAGCCACTGACTATTATAGTGTCATAGAATCCCTACAGTGTGGGAGTAGGCCATTCGGCCCACACCAACTCTCTGAAGAGCATCCCACCCAGACCCCACCCTGCTATTCTATCCCTAATAAACCCAGTATTCCCCATGGCTAATCCACCTTGCCTGGACGCTATGGGCAATGTAGCACAGCCAGTTCACCTTACCCCTACAAAGAGGAGAAGGGGAAGAAACTGTGGGAAGAAACTGGAGCACCCGGAGGAAATCTGCGTGGACACAGGGAGAATTGGTAAACGCCACATGGTCACCCAAGGCTGTAATCGAACTAGGGTCCCTGGTGCTGTGAAGCAACAGTGCTAACCAGTGACCCACTGTGCTGAAGTCAAGGCTTTGAAGACACTTGACTTCGAGCATCTGTTGATCAGAAAACCAGTTAGTCTGAAAGTGTAACTTAGTAAAAGGTTGGGAAATAAATTCCTTAAAGAGATTAAATAATAACTTCTCCCTATAATGTAGGAACATCTTTACGTGGTATTGTACCGTGCTCTTGAACTGCCAATGAGAATAATTTAGCATCTGGATGACAAACTGAGTTACATCAGCTGATCTAATGTTACATACATTATGAAGTAATTTGATAAATCAAAAGATCCAGGTGTAGAAAGGTCTTATCTTTTATAATAAAAGCAAAGACTAAAAGCAGCCGAAACTGGAGATATTTTCTGCATTAGATTACCGAGCAAATTGTAATAGAGTTGAGACCTAGTGTCATAGACGTCTCCAGCACAGAAAAAGGCCCTTTTGGCCCATTGTGTTTGCAGTGTTCAAAACAAGCATTTAACTATTCTTCTTATCCCATTTTACAGCAATTGGCCCATAGCCTTGTATGCCTTGCCATCACAAGTGCACATCTAAATACTAATAAAATGTTATGAGGGTTTCTGCTTTTCCTATACTTTTTTGAGGCAGAGAGTTCTGGATTCCCACCATGCTCCAGGTGAAATATTTTTCCACATGTCCCCTCTAAACCTCCTGCCCCTTACCTTAAATCTGTGGCCCTGGTCATTGATCCTTTCACCAAGGGGAAAATTATTTTTCCTGTCTACACTATCTCTATCTCAGTCTACTACTACACATCTCCAGTCATACTCCCCACCCCCCCCCCCCCCCCAACAAACCGAGTCTCACTGCTCCAAGGAAAACAGCCCCAGTCTGTCCAATCTCTCTTCATAACTAAAACTCTAGCCCAGGCCACATCCTGGTAAATCTCCTCTGTGCCTTCTTGAGTGCTATCACGTCTATCCTAGAATGTGGATTCCAACAGTGCACACAGTACTCTAGCTGTGACCTACCTGATGTTTTAGAAAGCTCCAGTATAACCTCTGTGCTCTTAAAATCTCTCTCACTTTGTCGACCTTTTATGCAACCTGTGGACGTACACACCAAGGTCCCTCTAACTCTTGTGCTTCCTGGGTTCCTACTGTTCATCATGAATTTGCTTGCCTAAATGGTTTTGTCCTGTCTAAACGCATCACCTCACACTTAATCTGGATTGAATTCCGTTTGCCAGTGATCAGTACATCTGACTGGCTGGTCAATATTTTCCGGTACTCTAAGACTATCCCTCCTATTTACTGCCCCACCAATTTATGTATCCACTATGAACTTACTGATCAACTACCCCCCACCCCCACCCCCAATCGAGTCTAAGTCATTTATATATGCCAGAAAAAGGAAGGCACCAGCACTGACCTCTATAGAAGCCCATCAAACACAGACCTCAAATCACAAAAACATCCCTTAACCACCAACCTCTGCTTCTTGCCACTCGGGCAATTCTGAATCCAATTTGCCAACTTGGCTTGGATTCCATTGGCTCTTACATTCTCTGTCAGTCTCCCTCGTGGGATCTCCACAGAAGGCTCGCTGAAATCCCGAGTAGGCTACATCAAAACATTGCCCTTATCTACACATGTGGTCACCTCCACTCAAAATTCAATCAATTTGGTCAGATATGACCACGCCACTCTTTTCCCCCCTCCCCAACCTTAACAAATCCACGCTGACTTTCCTGGATTAATCGTTGCTTCAAATGCAGATTAATTCTGTCCCTCGGAATTGCTTCCAATAGTTTCCTCACCACAGAGGTTAAACTGACTGGCCTGTAGTTTCTTGAATAATGGTACCACATTGTGGGTGTCCTCCAGTCCTCTCGATATCTCTCATGTGGCCAGAGGAATTGAAAATTATTGCCATTGCCTCTGCTATTTCCTCCCTTGACTCACTCAACACTTGGCTTTATCTACTTTTGAGCCTGAGAAACCACTGTCTGTTAATTTCTTTAATCGTATCCTAGTCCCTCTCCCTGATTTCTATGCCCACATCATCCCTCTGACAGATGAACACTGACACAAAGGATTTATTAGAACTCTCCCACATCTTCCGGCTCCACGCAAAAATTATGCCCTACTCTTTCTACAGTTATCCTTTTTCCCATAATGTACTTGTAAAATAACTTAGGAACAACCTTTTTTAGTTTACCTGCCATTATCCTTTTTTTTGCCTTCCCTTTCCTTTCCAAGTTCCCACTCGTACATTCTGTACTCCTCTGCTGTTTTTATCCCTTGGTTATCTGCCATAAGCCTCCCTTTTTATTATCCAACATATCCCTTGACCTCCAGGGTTAGCTGTATTGTTTTTTTTTTGCTTTATTTACTCCTGGGATTTGGGCATTGCTGGCTGGATCAGCAATTATTCCCCGTCCCTAGTTGCTCTTGACTAATGGACTGACTACCTCTTCAGCTTAACAGCTGATTTTCCTGGAAGACTGTTGCCTTCCATCTGGCTTGGGGGTGTGAATAATGTAGAACTTCCTGTCCTTCATAGAATCCCTACAGTATGGAAACAGGCCATTTGGCCCAACAAGTCCTTACCGCCACTCTGAAGAGAATCCCACCCAGACCCATTCCCCTAACCCTGTATTTCCCATGTCTAACCCACCTAACCTAAACATCCCTGGGCGCTATGGGCAATTTAGCATGGCCAATCCACCTCTGCTGCACATCTTTGGACTGTGGGAGGAAACCGGAGCACCCGGAGGAAACCCACACAGACACGGAGAGAATGTGCAACTCCACACAGACAGTCGCCCGAGGCTAGAATCGAACCTGGGTCCCTGGTGCTGTGAGGCAGCAGTGCTAACCACTGAGCCACCGTGCTGCCCTTAAACTTCACCTAAACATGGTCTCTGGTGTCAGAAGGAGACAGCACTCGAGGGTGAGATGTATAGTGATGTGTGAATGTACGAATTAGGAGCAGGTGTAGTCCACTTGACCTCTTCTGCCTGCTGTGGTATTCAGTAAGCTCATGGCTGATTTTTTTCTTTGATTGAACCTGAGTCCTATCATGTTAAGGCAGTTGACCCAGGTTTGTCAGCCCCCTGAGGCAGTCAACAATATTGCCATGGCCACACTTTCAAAGAACAGCATTTGCTCCCACACTTTTTTTAAATTGGAACACATTGGCGCTGTACCTTCTTGAATGCAGTCCACTATTTTGACACCAATCTTTGTTTCTTTGTCTTTTTTTTTTTCTTTCTTTTTTCTTCTTTTCTTTTCTAACCCTGAAAGCATTTGCTTCCAGTCCACTCTGGGTAGCTGCCAGATATTAACCATTTT